GTACGGACAGTAGTGTCCAAGGCTTTGGCATGTCCAGCATGTGGGTTGGGAGTAGTAGTCTTGCAGACTCAGGCTTGAACCTTCGTGCAATTGTTGTTTGTCGTTCCTCTGCTGGTGGTAGAGCCAGCGGCGGAACCGACGCCGGTTGGCATCCTGTAGATGCTACTGGCAGGACTGCGGGAGGTAAGGGCAGCAGTGCCCAAGTCCTTGGCATGTCCAGCGTGAGAGTTGGGAGTAGTAGTCTTCTAGACTCAGACTTGAACCCTCATGCATCTGCTGTAAATCGTCCCTCTGCTGGTGCTGCAAGCTTTGGTTCGATTGGAACTGTTAGTGGGGCTTCGGGTAGTAGCCAGTCTTTCGGTTCGGGAATGGTTAGTGGGACTTTAGGTAGTCAGTCTTCCATTCCGGGAATGGTTAGTGGGGCTTTAGGTAGCCAGTCTTCCATTCCGCCCCCATCTACTCCATCGAGTGAGTGGTGGGGATGTGTCGCCAGTGGAAACACATATATTCCTGGGGTCGGCATTAATAACACAGGAGAAAACTTGGGTAGGAGTCCTTTTCAAAGTTCCCAAAGCTTCTGTTTTTGACGGGACGGACGTGTCGTATCCGTCGTGGTCACAATTGTTTCTACTGAGTGCCCACAACAATAATCTGTATGAGGCTTTTGTTTCTGTGCAACATGTAGGGATTTCGATTGCAAGCATTGAATTCGATCTGACCCCCTGGGTAGAGAAAGGATACAACATACATGGGTGTGCTGTGCCAGACTGAGATATCAAGGTGGATTTTGTTCGACTGTTCGAATAAGAACTCTCTCAAAACCATGGCTAGGCATGCAGGTTTCCCCAGCAAGGCATTTCGAGTGTTGAAAGATCACTTTCTACCCTTGAGCCAGAGCACTGTCTGGAACCTTGGAGTTGGTGTTTGTGACTGCTGATTTGAGTTTCTGTAGAGTTGGAGCATGTATTGTAATCTCCCAACTTGGGATATCACCTCTTTTCTCCCAGCGCAGATTGGTGGTGAGTCATGGAATTACCTTGCTTGGTGGTCCTGATGGTGTGATGACTGTTTTCGACGGACATACTATTTTTCAGAGCTTCGATGGCATGCTAATTAAGACTGCGTATCGTCTTGAAGATGAATCTGTTGGTTCGGTGTTAACTGCCCTCACTCCTTCAAACCCCAAGCATGAATCTAAGATGGATGTGAACGAGTTTCGTAACATTTATGCTCATTCGCATGAGGGATTGCTTCGTACAACTGCAAAGCGACTAGGTATCGAGTTGACGGGTAAAATGCATGCTTGTACGGGATGTTCGATGTCGAAGGCATTCAAGAAAGGGATTGCTCATGAAACAAAACGCAGATCAGACAAAAAGTTGGGCAGAGTTTTTGTTGACCTGGGAGGGCGGAAGGACGTTGCGTCCGTAGGGGGTAAACATTACCCCATGATAGTGAAGGATGATTTCACAAGACGCACATGGATGTATTTCCTGAAAGTAAATCAGACGCTGCGAGTGCTTTCCGGAGTTTCCTTGCAAGTGTGCGTGCTGATGGTATCCCATCATTGGTTGAGATTGTTAGATCTGACAATGGGGGGGAGTTTTTCGGAGGAGAATTTGCGTCCGTGTGCAACGAGCTCTTGATTAAGCAAGAGTTCACCCCGGCTTACAGTCCCCAATACAACGGTGTTGCAGAGCGTGGTTTGGGATTGATTGAGGCGGCGGCAATGGCTGCTCGTATTCAGGCAAAAGTTTTGTTTGGGCATGTGCAATTACCAAAGACTGATAGACTATGGGCTGAGGCGATGCATTGGGCTTGCGAAGCAATTAACCACACAGCTTGTTCCGCTAACCCCGACAGTAAGTCACCGTATGAGATGTGGCATGGTGAAGCTAGTCATGCTAGACCGTATCCGTTTTTGAAACCGGCGTACTGTAGGTGGCAGCGTCCGTCTAAGCTGCTACCGAAGGGTGAGGCTTGCTTTTTATGTCGGTCCTTCGAGAGACCACCCGCGTGAATGTCATAGAGTACTTACGAGGGCTGGAACTATTCAGGAAACGAGGAATGTGACATGGGAAGCGTTGCCGTCACAACTCCCTCCACCGCAACCGTCTCTCTTGCCGATAGAAGTTGCAGAGCAGGGAGGGGAGGAACGTGACGACGATGTAGAAGCTGAGGTATGGCCGCTTTTAGGAAGAGGAGTTCCCCACATTCTTTTGCGACGTGATATCTCTGGTGGAACAATCGATGAGGTTGGCAGTGTTGATGCAGGCAGTGTAGGTCAACCCCCCTCTATGCCATCTTCGCCCGCGATTAATTCCCCTAGTAGCGCAGCTCCCCCTGTGTCTTCTCCAGCAGACGAGTTCTTCGATGAGGGAGGGCAGGGAGGGCCGGAGACAGGGCAGACAGAATCGGCGGGTCCGGGAGGGCAGGAGGTAGAGTCGGAGAGTCAGGAAGGTTTGGATCAAGAGTTGGTTGAGCCGGGAGGGCAGGAGGTACAATCGGAGGCATTTCCCCCTGCTACGCACGTACCATCTAATCGTCGTGCGCGGCATGAGCTTGCTAGTTACAACACTGCTATGAATGAGAATGTTGAAGTCAGAGAAGGCAGAACCCGTGCGCAAACTCGGGCAGTAAATCAGCAGAGCGTACCCGGCCTCATGGCCACTCTAGGACCCATCTCCGCATCAGATATAATATTGGCACTCTTAGTCGAACAGAGAGCATCTGATGCAATGGAATTGCCGAAAGTACTAATTCAAGATGTAGAGTCAGAACCGGGTAGCTATCAAGAAGCCCGCCAATCAAAGTATTCCACGATTTGGGACGAAGCCATGTCTGTAGAATTTGAAGGCTTGTTAAGAGCAGGAACGTTTGCGTTAGCAGTAAAGGCTCCAATAGGCTGTAACGTGATAGATGCTAGATGGGTCTACAAATGGAAAGCAGATGAAACAAGTAAGATAGTGAAGGCCAAGGCTAGGCTTGTAGCGAAGGGCTTCAAGCAGAAGTATGGTGTGGATTATCTTGAGACTTTCTCGCCTACTGCAAATGCTGCATCGATTCGTTTGTTGGTAGCATTGGCGTGCAAGTATGATTTGGAATTTCTTCACTTTGACATTGAGCAAGCGTTTGTTCAGTCGGAATTGGATCACGAGGTGTTCATGAAGTTGCCTCCTGGCTGTGAGTCGATGACAGGAAAGGTAGTCCGTTTAGACAAGAGTTTGTATGGACTGAGACAGGCATCTAGAACATTTCACAAGAGACTTGTGTCGGACCTGAAGAGGATTGGTTTCGAACAGTCTCTGTCTGACCCCTGCGTTCTTCGTTTCATGATGGGAGACGAGGTGTTGGGTATGATTGCGATTCATGTGGATGACATTCTGTATGCAGGAATTGAGAGGCTTGCCAAGATGGTTGTGGAACCGCTAGGTGACTCTCTCCCCACGAAGAATTTGGGCGAGGTCAAGTTCTTTCTTGGTTGCGCATTCGTTCGCGACCGCGAGGCTGGTACGATTGAGATGTCTCAAGAGAGTTACATCAGGAGTGTTCTCGAGAGATTCAATGTTTGTCGCACCAGCTCGATCCCTGCTTCCCCTGCTAACGATTACAGGTCCGTGATGGAGGATGAGGGGGCAGGAGATGTGCCGTTCCGAGAGGTGGTGGGGAGCCTGATGTGGATCGCCAACCAGACAAGGCCCGACATCTCAAATGCTGTGCGGGCGGTGGCGAGGCACTCTCACGAGCCAAAGAAGAGCCACTGGAAGGCGGCCCAGAAGATTCTGAATTATCTTCTGGAGACGGCACATCTAACTTTGAAGTACAAGCAGGACACTATGGTAGACGTAGGCACGTTGGTGTACGTAGACGCAGACTTCGCCAGTAAGGCCACTGACCGTAGATCAGTTTCGGGAGCACTAGTTCTTGTAGCTGACTGTCTTGTTGCTTGGATTTCTAGGACGCAGAAATGTGTCACACTTTCAACCACTGAAGCAGAGTATGTTGCGATGGGTGACGGTGTGAAAGAGGCTCTGTTTGTCAACGGAATGCTCGAGTTCTTGAGGCCTAGTGAGAAGCTTGGTAAGATCCAGGTACGCGAGGATAACGAGGGTGCAATTGCACTTGCTGAGAATCCACTTAGTTCGTGTAACAGTAAGCACATTGACGTGAGGCACCATTTTCTTCGGAATTTGACAGAAGAGGGAGTGTTGGAAATCAGTCATGTCGCTAGCGAAAGACAGCATGCGGACATCCTGACGAAGGCGCTGCCGAGAGATCTTTTTGAAGTTCATCGTAATTTTGCTCTAGGCTCGAGATCTGAGAAGTAGATAGAGGTCTGAGTCGTGTTTTCAATTTTTGCTATTTCTGATATATATTTGGTCTGGTCGAGACAACAGCCCCAAGGGAGGGTGTTCGTGATTATTGCTGCTGTGTGTCGACAAGTAGCGCAGAACACTAACAGGAAGTTCAAATAACGGGACTGTCGTTTGGTAGGAATGTTTCTAGGAATGTTCTTCGTGGATGGTGTTCTCGGTATGTCGGATGGTTCATAGACCCGAGCGTGTTCTCGGTATGTCGGATAGTACATTGGTCCGAGTTCCATGTTTTGTGTGTTGGTCGAGCGACATGGCTGATGCTGCGGTGCTCGCGCACCCAGCTCACTCCACTCTGCTACCCTGTCTCTCGACCCAAGGTCTCATCAATACAACATATTTTCCCCAGAAGCCACGAGTTTACCAACATACTTGTCTGTGTGATCTCGGCAAAATTTGTCGGCAGGTAGCACGCCCTATTGTTTTATTTGGTTGGTGCGTTTCGAGTTCCAGTCGACCAGAGCATCTACAGTTCTGCAAGTACATCGGTTCTCTACACCCGGTTATTCGTGGTGTTGAGAAGCACGATGACCACGAGACTACTACTCAGCGCTGACTGGTCGATACAAGCAGGTCATCGGCTTACTCTGCGAAGCCAGTTTCCTTAGGCTTTTTTCTTCCTCATAAATTCGGGCGCAAAGAAATTTATGCTCGAGGGGAGATTCGAATCCCGGATATTAGCTTTTTTGTTGAGAAGCACGACGATCACTAGACTACTAGTCAGTGCTGACTAATAGTCTAGTGGTCATCGTGCCTCCCAACAGGTGGCACGAGGCAGCCCACTAGTCAAATGAAGAGCTTGATGGGTGCCATGCAGGCAGGATAGACCTCAATTAGGTCTACGCATGTCGTTTCATGTGTTTGAATTCCTGCCAAGGCAGTCGGGCAAACATTCAGCTACATGTAGGCCAACCGACGGCGTACATAAAACATGCGGGCATGTGTTGGAGTCTGCATGTGAGGTCCAGGGGCGGCGGGAGAAACACACCTCGATAAACTAGACGGCCGACGGCCCAATTTGAAAATCCTAGGCTCAGGTCGTAGCTTTGTTCCTTTACCGTAACACATCATGGATCATCTTCGGATCATCATCTCATCATGTCCGGGGATATATTCAATTTGGAACGTCTCGCGTATCTCTCCGGGCTGCTTCCAGTTGGACTCTGACCAATAGGAGGGCAGCAGCGATTCGTTCACGAAATCACCGGCATCACATCACCTCCCCGCGAAAAACTCCACGCAGCAGTCGCGCATACTACGCTGGGTGCCCATCGAGTGTCTCCTTATCTTTCTCTCTCTTCCTGTGCCTGCCCCCTTGCAAACGCAGAGGGGACGAGCTCTGTGCCGGGACAGAAACAGGAAACGCCTGACGTCCCACCGCACAAACATTGACTGGCCGTTACGAGAGCGAAACCACCCAACCATCCATGGATACGTCAAGTACGATGCCAGTGTACTCCGGCAGGAACAACCGCGATGGCCGGCAAGGAACTCGTCCGCGGCCAACCCTGTTTGGAGTGCGGCGGAGCTGCTCAGAGTGTGGACGTACAAAGAAGCGTTGTGATGGTCAACTGCCTTGTGGGTAAGACCGAGATCAAGATTTGATGTGGGAATCGACGTGCTTGGCGCGAAAATGAGTTGCAAATGAGTTGCAAGCTGATACACAGCAATGACATGCTGTAACTACAGTAGTACCAACTACATTGCAATCGCGTTTGTGAGGATGAAATTTCAGTGCAGCTGCGCAGCAGCAACGCTGCAACACTTGGAGGATATCGCACCAAACCAACACGGGAAGCCTAAAGTACCTTACATGATTTTCCAAGCTCCAACATACCGCATACAATATGTAGTTTAGACTACCACACCGAACAAAACGACTCTGTATAACGCAACCTCTGATGAGACACATGTCTCCCCGTTTTGAGTGTGCGGCTCAACTTTCTCACGGCATGTGGTGGAGGCAGAACATGAACTACAGTCGTATGCATAGGGCAGGGTAACGAGCAGCCGAGTACTTGGCGGTAGTCCTCTATCTCTGCGATGCTGTGCAAGACACGCTGCTTCCAAGCAACCACACACACGCGGAGAATTCAGCGGGCATATGCATAGGTACGAATCCTCTGGTAAATATTCGAACGGATCTTCCAAGACTGATGGACCCGCTCCGCTGGAACAATGTCAAATGATGAGACGGCAGAGGAATACCCACACAACACACCGCCGTGACAAGCAAGCTGTGTACTGTACAGCAGTACCGCCGAACGATCGCCACCTGAAAGCACTGCCGGCAAGGGTGTTCACGAACGAAACAATCGCTTACGTAAGCCCCCGCCGGACGGTGAACTCCGAAAAGCTTCCATGAAAATCACCAACAAGATTCGAGCCGTTCGGTGAGCGTTTGTGACCCTCGGAGGGTCGTGTTCTGTTCTTCAACACTCCATAACTCCATCTCATAGCGTTTCTACGGTACCCGTGACGAAGAGTTTGTAGGTATGTAGGCACATGTAGTGTAGGCACGATCAAGAGGGTGCACCGTAAGTGACACAAGACAGCAAAATCACAGAATAAAGCACGCCCCTAACACATCTCTCCAGGAAAGCACACTCGGGGTGTGTTTCTCGGACTCAGAAAAAAACGCCAATTCAATTACAATTAATTACTAGCCTAAAACACTTAATATATATGGGGTGTTTGATTTAATTAATTGTTTTTGGGTTTGGGGAGTACATATTGGCCAATCTATCACACCGGTGACACAAGATAGCACACCCCCTTCATGTACGCCGCAGTAAAAATCACACCCGTCGCCCCGGTGGTCTTGTGGGTAACCTCGCAGCCTGCTACGGGCCAGGTCATGGATTCGAGTCCCGACAGAGTGAGTTTGTTCTCGCTAATTAAATCCTGGTCTCCGTTGGAAGCTACGCGCTGCAAAGTGCGTTGTTAGAAAACTTGATCGACTTCACAATTCGCGACGGAAGGGATTGCTGTACCATTCTCGCGATAAAAATGTCTCAGGCAGGAACCGCAGGAGGGGGTCCAACCCCCCCCTCCTATGTGACCCCGGTTGGGTCGTCTAGCTGGTGGAAGTGGAGAATAGGGGCCAGAGGGGCAGATGACAGAGTCCAATGATGGGAGAAAAAAAAAAAAATCACGGAGCCTCTCTATCACACCTGGTGGCTAGTGGCGGGTCGCACGAATGTGCACAGCCCGACGTCCAACACGCGAACAGAGGCACACAGCTACTGTAGTATGCACACAGACAAGGAAAACACGGGGGTGGAGGAGGTAGACAACCCCCTTTGAGACATCCCAGAGACATCCCTGCTGGAAGTGACGTCGCTCAGACGGTGCCATCAACGTCTGCGCCGGCGCCTCCACGGGCGAAAACATCTTTTTTCTCGAACCAACCCGCCGCCAAGCCAAACGATGAGACTGCATCAGCACCTGCCACCGCAATTGCTGCCGAAGCCCGCTCAACAGCGTCCGTCAAGGCCCGCACAATATATTCGGTTGAGGACCGGACAACAGAGTCTGCTGAGTCCCCCTTCATTTATCACACCTCTTCAAGGAATGGTGGAGCAGGAAAATATGTTATCATACCCCCTTTTTATCACCTCCTCCACTGATTGCGGGCTCCGTCAACGTGCACTTTATCATACCGGTCACATTAGTTTGCGCACCCATCCCAGGAAAGCACACCCGGTGATAGGCGAATTTAACTCCAAAACCTTTTCACCAGGGTGTGCCTTCTTGTGTCACATGCGATATATGCAAGCGTGTGCACCCGCAGAATGTACTCCCGTTGACAAAAGGCTGCTCCCCAAGGAAGGATGTTAGGCGTACTGCAGTAGAGGTCCCTGTTTAGTGCCGGTTGAATACAGTGCTGGTTTCACGTATGGTGTTGGTCAAATCTCAGCGCACAGCTAGAGCCCTCACCACGGTAGTGCCAGACCGGCGCTATTTTTGGATGCCCACTATAGTGCCGGTTCACGCACCCATACATCCCATGGCCCCGAGAAGCATTTGTTCTGCCTTCAGCTGACTGAAACTGACGTACCCATCATTTTCGTTTTCCAGCCGGCTAGAGCGGTAATACTAACAAACACACTAAGAGAGGGTCGCCAAAAAACAGTTGCAATATGCATATTGGCGATGAATGTGGTGGTGAAGAAAAAGAGGACGGTTAAAGCGCTCGGGAAGGAACCCGAGCAAAGCGGCAGCCTTGGCAGACACGTGCAACTTGCTACGTTCTGTTGCTACCGTTTTTGTCATTAATGCGGAGAGTAGCTTAGACGCCCCCGTGACGCCTCCTCACGACCCCGCAGATCTTGCCCTTTCGAAGAACTTTGTGTTATCAACCGAACCCTTGACACTAAATTATTTTCATTGGTCAGCCGGTTAGCGCGGTCAATGCCAGCTAAGACAACAAGCACTATAACAAACAAAAACGCACACACACGGGGTCGATTCTAATAAAAAGATAAACGACACGGGGTCCCAGGTCATGGGCTTGGGCAACACTATAATTTCCTGTTTCCACTAGGACTGACGGCGTCGATTGGTCGGTCAGTCGGTTAGCGCGATCGGTGATAATATTAACACATGCACTCACACAATTCCCCCCGCTCTCGATACATCGAAGGAACGCAAGGAAAAGTGAGATTTTCCTTCCTTTTCACCATTATTTGGCACTAGTATGATTCACAAACATCACTACGTCCGCCAAAAATGCATCGCGTGCTTGGATGAGTGTGTGTCTCCCTTTCACTATTGAGAAAAGTGCTATTGAGCTGGCCCGGAATGGTTTGATCCGTGTGGGGCCAGTGCTATCACTCTGAGGTGATACTTTGTGATAGTCAATGTGAAGGGTTACGCCAAACTCAGGCGACTAACTTGTCTGTCCCACCCAGGTCTATATTATATTCTTCGAAATCGACAGGGTAGGATTCACACGTAACGTGACAAGATCTGCCCACGCCGCCCATGCATACATTCTATTGGGATGTAACCTTGTGACAGGTTGTATCCCTTGCAGTGGCCACTGTGTAGTAGCAGTGTACAGAGGCTAACAGAGTGACGGAAAAGAAAACTTGTGTTAGACCAGCCTAGATGGTGTGAATTGGGGCTAACTTGGCCGAAAGGTAAGGAAAGAGAAAGGGAGAGTCCTGATGCCAAGGGCTTTGATAGATGTAGGAAGAACGGAAAGAGTGGGAGAGTGAGAGAGTGAGGGGAGCGCGACGGGGGCGAGCCATCAATCCTTATCCCGGAAGAACGGCACATACATACGGGCTATTAGTCCAACCTGTAGCCACGTTACAAGACTATCTGTTAGGACAATGGTCCGATGTACACTTACTATGTTTAAAAG